TCGTTGAAAATCTTTCTTGAAGTATGTTAGTAACGCTACAAGATAAGTTTCAGAGAAAAGTGAAATCATGACTCTCAGACATGTGTGAAGAATTTCATTTTACTCATTAATCAACCAAGGAGGGAACCAGACAGATGTTATAACTGGTTGAAAGAAAAAGTCAAAAAGCACATATTTTTATGGAGTAAAGGAATTGAATTGCAAATGGAGGCAAAACTGGTTTTTCCACAGTGGGGAAGGAAGTCAATGCAAACTCCACTGGGCAAGACAAGAGTTGGCATATCTATCAATTACCTATAATTTCTGGTGGTGGTGGTTATGTGCTGTGGAGTCGGTTCCGACTCATAGCGACCCTGTACAGGGTTTCCGAGGCTGTGAATCTTTACGGGAGCAGAAAGCCTCATCTTTCTCCCATGGAACAGCTGGTAGTTTCGAACTGCTGACCTTGCGGTTCACAGCCCGATTTGTAACCACTACACTACCAGAACTGGCAGTAAGTTTGCGTGGTGGACACTTTGGGGGTTTTTTGGCCTGTAATTTCTCAGGATCTTTACTTCAATTCTCATCCAGAATTCAGTTCTATAGAGCATGTCTTTACGGAGTAAAACATGGTACTACAGGAACCAGAGACACACAAAGAAAGACAGTATCTCTTACCTGAAGTAAGGAATTGTCTACTGGAGGAGACAGGCATGCAGTGTTACCAGCTAGTTACCCACCAGCTAGCCACGCTGCAGAGAAAAAGACTGCATTAAGAGAAGAGAAACAGAGAGAGAGGGGTTAACTTTGATGGGGACTGGGGCTGGGGAGATAACTTGATCACACTTCAGCTAGGCCTTGAGGGATGACAGAGAGAGGATAAGGGGGCATGGAAGACGCTGGTTCAGAATGAAGAAACAGCAGAGTCCTGAACTGGGAAGGACTGATTAAGGAAGGGTCAGGAGCTAGGGTGGCCGGGTTGGCAGGGAGATGACAAGAGATGATAGAAGAGGAGACTAGGCACAAGGTCTGAGGGCAGGTCATGAAAGACCCTGAGTGTTGTGCTATGTAAGGAAATGGCAGCCTTGATTCTGAAGACAGGGGAAAGTCATTGGAAGCTTTTTAGGCAGGAAAGGGTGATATGATCGAATGGGTTCTTTAGAAGATTCATTGATTGTAGAATCAAGAGAATGGAAGCAGAGGGACCAGTTAAGAGGCTATTGCAATATTCTGTCTGGGTGAGATGATGAAGGTCTGTTTTGAGGTGGTGGGAGATGGGTACAAAGAGGATCTGTGAAGTGGGGGAGAGGAAATGAAGACAACGTGGAAATTTCCAAGCCAGGGAGTAGTGATGCTAGTAACTTAGATAGGAAACAAGCTGGGAGTAGCAGGGTGGGAAGCCAACTCACAGGAGTAAATAACCAGTAAGGTTTGAGGCATGTTGAGTTTGACAGCATGACAATTGCAGCAGACAATTCTGCTTTGGGCCTAAAGGAAAGAGGTCAGGGCTAGAGATACAGACTTGGGAGTCTTGAGCATACAAAAGAAGAGAGGTGAGACTAGGAGCTCATGAACTGAGGGAGAAGGAGGGATAAGGCAGCCATAGATGCATAGGAGAAGAGAGAGTGAGAAGAGGGTGGGGAGTGCCAGAGACAGTCGAGAGACAGATGGATAGGTCTAAATAGAGATAGAGACAGAAGAAGGGAAAGAGAGACAGAAGGAGACAGAAATATAGAGGGGGAGGCCGAGAGAAAGCAGAGACAGAAGGATAAAGAGTAGAGGGGAAGAGGAAGAAAGGAAAGGTGGAAGAAAGGGAGGGAGAAGAAGAGGGGCCAGAAGACCCTGAAGGGGAGATGGGGGGAAATGGGGAAAGCCAGATAAAGGGGAAGGAGGGCAGAGGGAAGAGAGACATGGGAAGGGGGAGAAAGTTGGAGGCAAAGGAACTATGCAGAGAGGGCTAGAGAGGGAGAAGATAATAGGGAAGAGGCACAAGGGAGATGTCAGGAGTAGAGGAGGGTTGGTGTTATTGTTGTTAAGTGCCGTTGAGTCGGTTCTGACCCATAGCGACCCTGTATAGGGTTTCCAAGGAGTAGCTGGTGAGCTTGAACCACGAATCTTGTTTTTCAGACCAAGTTTGCAGTCCAGCGCATTAACCCACAGCACCTCACCAGGAGAAGGTAGTGAGGAGGAAAAGAGACACAGAAGTATGAGGAGGGCTAAAGAAATAGGAGGGATATATGGGATCAAACTGGCAACGACAACTAGAAAGGTTAGATAGGAACCTTAGGAGGCAGGGAATTTCTATTAATGGAGGAAGAAACAGTTCAGAAAAGGAGGGTGAGTGGTTGCTCAGTGTGAAGACTGTAATTGATGTCACTGAATTATCCATATAGAAACGGTTGAATTGGTATATGCGCTGCTGTGTCTGTTCTCGACGACAGTGACAACAGATAAATAATAAAAACAAAGATGTGAGAGTACGAGAGAGACGATGGAGGAAGGTTGAAGGGAGGGAGAGATGGGTGGGGGCAGGAGGAAGGAAATAGAAAGGGGAAGAGATGGGAGAGTGACAGGGGTGAGGAGAGACAGAGAGCAAGGTGAGGACCAGACTTAAGTGAATGCCCAGGTCTCGAGATGGCAAGAGGGAAATGGACCAGTGAAGGTGACTGCAGAGGAGCAGGTACAGGGCCAGGAAGTAAAGAGAGCAGAATGGATGAAGACAGAGCGTGAGAGAGCAGCAGTATCCAGTACTGCAGAGATGATGAGTAGGATGAGTAGGATGAGGGCCAAGAATGGGTCAGTTATTACCACCTCTCTCCCACTCTCCCACACTCTCGGATCTTCCTTGATCATGGCAGGTGGCCTCTTGCCTTAAATCGTTCTCGCTGCCTGGAATGCTCTTCTTCTTGGGAGCAGCATCACTCATTCCTACGTCTCTTTTAGGTGACTTAAATGTCACTTTCTCAGCAAGGCCTATCCTGGTCACCCTATTTCAAATTGTAGGATGGGGGACAGTGGTGGAATTTTTCGTTTTCCCTGCAGGAGACTCAGATTCACATCCTGGTCAATGCATTGTATGTGGGGCTACCCCCCGTCCATCCGTGGAAGCTTGCATGTCGCTATGATGCAGAACAGGCTTCAGTGGAGCTTCCAGACTAAGATGGGTCAAGAAGAAAAGCCTTTAGAAATCAACTTTTAGAAATCAAGCAGTAAAGACCCTGTGGATCGTAAAAGTCTATACCGTGATCAGTCCTGGAGATGACATAAGAGTGAGCAGTGTCCCATTCTGTGGGGGGTCGCCTTAAGTCAGATCCGACTTGACGGCAACTAGCCCCAAGGCCCCTTAGATTGTTATACTACCTTCTAGCATCCTATAACATCACATGATTTAACATGTTTATGGTCTGTCTCCTCCCACCACCAAGGCAGGGACTTCTGGTCTGTTTTGTTCATCGTTGAACTTCTAGTGCTTAGAGCAAGGAACCCTGGAGATAATGACCGTAAGTGCTTGGCGGTTAATGAAAAGGTTGGCAGTTCGAATCCATTCCCTGGCACCACAGGAGAAAGCCATAGAGATTTGCTCCTGTAAAGGTTGTAGGCTAGAAAACCCAGTGTTCTGCTCAGTCACATGGGGTCGCTGTGAGTCAAAAATTGAGTTGATTTGGACCCATAGTGACCCTCTAGGACACACTAGAACTGCTTCAGAGGGTTTCCGAGGCTGCAAGTCTCCTGTGGAGTGACTGGTGGGTTTGAGCCCCTGACTTTGTGGTTAGCAGCCCAACACCTAGCCCGGAGGACCAGCAGGGCTCCTTTTGCTGGCTTCTTGGTGTTGCTAAGTGCCGCTGAGTCGGTTGGGTCTCACAGCGATCCTGTATAGGGTTTCTAAGGAGTGGCTGGTAGGTTTGAACCACCAACCTTGTGGTTAGCAGTGCAGTGCTGATCCTACAGCACCTATAGTAGGAGCTTAATAAATATTAGTTGAATGAATAAGTAACAGTGTATTAAATATGAGCAATCTCTGAAAATTGTATAAGATAAATGGAACAAATCCCTGATGTGGCTATCTTACTGTAATTTGTTTCTTTCTCTGGCAAGTGGAGAACAGCATAAAATTCTGATCAACTGAGAGTCCTTTTCAGTTGAGCTTTGATGAATAAGGATTTTGGCGAATAAATTAACTCAGGAGTTTAAGGATTTCCAATCCAGCTCATTGAACGAACCTCTTTTTCTCTGGATGCCTCACTTTCTCTAGAAGATGGCTTGGTTGTGCAGTGGTCATCGACAGCAAGAGCTGGGCATTGGCTGGCAAGGGGGTGGTGGGGCATGGGGGTGACAGACTCATAGAAAGAACAAAGCCAGAAACGTGTGGTTCTGGATGGACCATGTTTGGGTTGTTTGCTTGTTTGTAGTCAGAGTATAAGGAGGCTTGAATCGGCTTTGGAGGGAGTTTTAAACCAGGTCAGATGTAATTTGTGATGTCCAATTTGAAATCAGAATAGAGTATTTTTGAAGGGCTTATAGAGCAAGCGTGTACCTCCTCTGAAGAGCTGAAATTGGCTGTGCCACTCACATACTTGGGTACTCATGGATTAGAGTAGGTGAGAGAAGGATCCCTGGCAGTCTCAACACATTGTTCATAGATGGGAACAACCCTCGAATTGTAGTTGGTTAGGCTAACTGTGCATGGAAAACCCCCAACAATCTGAAATCGATTGAATATCCTTGAACACCCAGTCTTTAGTAGAATTTAAAAATCTCTCTTGGTGATTAACAGTAGCCTCGTCTCCATCCTGAAACTTGTGGATTCCTGGAAAGCTGGAGACCCCTCGTCCCACTTGGACCATGTTCTTTCCTCACAGGCTGGCATGTTACAGAGACTGCTTAAACATTTGATGCTGTGGTTCCTTTAATTTAAACTAATTTCCGAGCAGCTGTCCCTATTATGAGTTCTGATTCTCTTGGATTCTTTTTCCCCAGGGGGAGTGGCCACAGCAGGTCCTATCCGGTGGTGAGTGGCTGTCATGATCTCTACGGCACCGCTGTACAGCGGCGTGCACAACTGGACCAGTTCTGACCGAATTCGCATGTGTGGCATCAACGAGGAGAGGTGAGGTATTCCTAGTTACAGGTGGCTTGGTGAGCACTTGAAATCAAGGATCTCGTTTGAATTGACATGTGCTGTAAAGTATACATCAGCTTTTGACGACTTACTGAGCAAACATGGATGGAAACCTTCTTGTCAATACACTATTTTTACCTTGACGACTTTTGGTGTATAAGACATTGTGACCTTTGATCTAAGCCTAGAAGAAAGGCAGTTGTATTGTCCAGCTTCGTGCTGGAAACTGTCAGCGGGCATTCTGGTGAGCCGTGCTTTCTCACTTCACAAAGCTAACAGCACACAATCGTCTGTGCGATCCTTGATGGAGTATCAAAGGTCAATAAAATGGTTGAACTATTTTTAAAATAATGTTTTATGTGAAAGTCTACACAGCAAATTAGGTTCCCCTTTAACAAAGTTTTTATACCAATGGTTTCCTGGCATTGGTTACAGTCTTTACAGTGTATCAGCATTCTCATTCTTTTCATTCTGTTTGCTCTGTTTCCATTGATCTAGCTTCCCTGGCCCTCCTGCCTTCTCAGCTTTTTTTTTTTTTAATGTTTTATTGTGAATTATATGATAGTTTACATGGGAGAACTTTAGTTTTACATTCATTCCATCGTATATCATCTCATTG